AATTTCACTTGCCCGCATTACCATTTCAATCATGATATTGATAGGTTTTATGGTAAACTTAGTAGATCCCACTAAAAATTGAAAACATTTTAACCAGCCAAACGAGCTCCTAAATTAAAACTGGGTAGTTAATAGCTATTGGTAGATAGGATACAAATTTTCCTCCTAGATGTTTGGTGCCGTATTTTGACTTTATTGGATAAGGTCAGATAATACGAATATAGTTGTAATATACCATCCAAGCTATAAAGAATAGGATAATTTTCTGATAGGGTAGGATATGAAAAATTAATACATTTTATTAATTAACGGGAGACGACAATGACGCATCGCTGGCGTTCGTTGTTGCCGCTTTAAGCGGTTGGCTAATCAGGCCCTTTCCCTGCGATCCTAAGATCTGGGGTGGTATACAAAGGGTGAGTGTTTTTCAGGTTTTGAAAATAACGGAATCACATTGCTTTTATTAATCTAGGCTGAAGTGATCCTAGGATCCTTAATAGTTTCTAGAGAAGTAAACATCGAGGTGCGCGTACGAAGGTGACTGGTTTATTGTGAAATTAGAGATTTATGTTCTAGGAGTTCAGTTACGTTGGAGAAGGTTACCACCCCTACAACACCCTTTTAGTACCACATTTTTTTATAAAATCCTTTAAATTCCTTTATTTTCCTAAAATATAGAGGCGATTATTGTTTGTCCGGAGACGTAATCAAGTGAAAGGTTGGCATCGCCTCGGGGATGATTTCGTGCACCATGTGCGGATGTGTGTTTTGAAAACAAGAATGCATGTATGCATGATGATGATGTAGAATACGCAACATGTAATGTAAGATTGTGTCATGGAGATGGGTCACGTGATGAGGTGTTGTGTAATGACGTCTTATGTCATATTATCATGTATCGTGTGATGACATGCCACGTGATGACTTATTGTGCAATGTGATGACTTGTCATGTAAGATGTGTTTTTTCATATGAAAAACAAACAACGTGTTGATTTGTCATGTGACGACATGTCATATAATGACATGAATGTATGGGTTGTAGCTTGATGTGTATGCAAGTGTAAGTGACTATGCTTTAATTCTTAATTCGATGATGCATGTGAGCAAGTTTTGAAATGAAAGAGCCACTTTTATAACTCAACTTATTCAAAATGTAGATTGTCTTGGAGGATGTAGTACCCTTATAGCCGATTTTATGTGATATCGGGGTTGGATAGTCGAAAATAGTAGAGATGATGACGTAAACAGTCTCTGAACTTTGATCCAGTGTGTTATGTGGTCTTTAAACTTTTAATTTGTCCATTATAGTTTCTGAACTTTAGCTTAATGTTCAATGTGGTCCCTGAACTTTTAATACATGTTCAATATAATCCCTAAACTATATAAAAATGTTCAATGTACTCCCTCCATTAATTCAAGTTCGGGGACTACATTGAACATTTTCATATAGTTCAAGGACTAAATTAAACATATTCCAAAAGTTCAGGGATGACGTTGAACAAAATAAAAGTTTAGGGACAACATTGAGCATTAAACTAAAGTTCAGGGATTACATCGAACAAATTAAAAGTTCATGGACCACATTGCATATTGGGTCAAAGTTCATGGACTATAAGTGTCGTTTTCCCAAAATAGTTTTTGTGAAGGTACACATTGTTTTGAAATTATTTTTGTTGAAATTATGAGCAAGAGCCAAGCCCCAAGTCACGTATTAATCAATCGTCTTTTCGGATTGATCCAGTTCGGCTTTGTAACTACATGGCCTGAGGAGGACGAGGATTGATCGCCAAAGCGAGAGGGCCAAATCAAGGAGCGGCTCCTAGCAGGCTTCTTTGATTGGTAAAGGGCAAGAATTAACCAAATTACACACCAAACAAGGGAAAGTGTTCTTGGATTATATATGTAAAATTGGAATCAATTCACAAGAGGTACCTTTTGACAAAATAACAACACATTTAGCATTCAAACTTCAATGTTAAGCATGCACAGATGAGAGCATCACCGGGATGGATGATATCCTAGAAAAGTGTCTACATGTACACCAAGGACAAAACCATGGGACGAGTCAAAATGAAAAGTAACTCGAGTGAGTTAATCTATGAATATCAGAATAGAGAACCAAAGCATAACCACCTTTAGTGGGTGTATGGTGTCCAACAAGGGTGGGGAGTGATCACTGAGACGAGATAGCCGTCACTGTTAGGATTCGGCGCACGATTACAAGAAAATAGATTTCAAAAGCGAGAAAGAGAAATCGAGACACAAAGTTTTATCCTAATTCACCCTTAAACTAAGACTATATCCAGCAAAGGATTCCACTATAATTAGCACATCGCACTTCTCTGTTACATCCCTCAATTACAAGAGAAATAGATTATATATACTCAATAGATATTAATGAGGTCAAACCCAAACTACTAATAAAATACGGGTCCAAAATATAAAAGTCGCCTGGCTTTCAAGGAACACTGCACTCTTGGCGACCCCCTGAACCCCTACCCGTTTACCGAGAAGCGAGACTTCTGCCTTCCTATCGCTGGGGAGTATGAATCACACCCTAACATTAATAAGGAGCGATTTTAAGCAGGGTTCAAGATGGCAAAGGTGGCTAGAATGATCCAAATTGCATACCAAATAGGAGTGTTCCTAAATTATTTATATGAAATACAATTAACTCACAAAAAGCAACTTTTGACGTAGCAACAGCATTTAGCATTGGAATCCTAATGCTAAGCGTACTTTTGTGAGAGCACGACCGGGAGGGGTGAGCTTTTGGGAAAATCTACCTATACGCCAAAAGACAAAACGGAAAGATTCGGTATGTGATGGACCAAACCGAACAATACCTCAAATGAGTTAAGCCAGAGATGCCAAATGCTTCAAGGTCAATTCAGCCTTCCACAATGGGTGTCTTATGATGTGTAGAAAGTGAGGAAAAAGAACTATACTCGAGTGGTTGAGTTACTATTTATATGTGAAGATGGTTTAGGTCATAGAATGTTGGTCAACAAGTGGTTCTCAAATCACGATAAATTGCAATATGTCATAAAAAAAAAAATAGCCGCAGGTCAGGACATATGGTGCTCAAACCGTCTTTTCCGGTCGATGTTTGCTGAGCTTTTCGGATTGTGGTTTCATTACTGATCCCTTCAATAGGATGAATTAAATTTGGAGGTCTTGTCGGGAGGTCACCTGTTGTGAGAAGGTGACGCGACATGCTGCCCATGAAACTTGCTTGCTGCGACACACCCATCGGGTATCACTGTTGACTCGTCGAGTACCAAAGAGACATATGGCACTCATCCCTTGGTCTGCTAATCCATCCTCATCACCTGAAGCGGGAAAGATGTGTTCACTTAGCCAAATGCCCGGCACTACATTTTAACACGAGAATAACCTTTCACTCGAGTGAACATGCTTCTATCCAAATGTTTTGATGCATATAGGAGATATTCAAGTGACGACAACCAATCTAAAAGCGGCCACTATGCAGTACGGTTTGCTCAAAGTTCTGGCCATCCTGAAGTTCAACCAGGGGAAAGTAGACGAGAGAGACTCATCCCGGACTATAACGGAAATAAGTTTCCCAACATGTGGAGAGAGCAAAAGCAACATCCTCTTGGAGCTCACCCTGTATCCATCTCCATTAGTTATCTCTCCCCCCTGCCCCCCAGTTCGGCTAAGCAGGATCGATAGATAAAGAGATTAGTAAGGAGACGGATCGAGCTTCGCATCACGACTGCCATACTTTCTCCCCTCTCCCTGAACAAATCGGGCAATTGGCATCCCAAGGAAGTGGTCAGGCTTGACTCTCCTGTGCAAAGTTGCCGGAGTTACTAGACTCAATTGTAAGCCTCCGAAGCTTGAGATTTTTCGACATTTTTAACTGTCTGAACCTGAAAATCCTTGCCTCATCAAATTGGCCAAATAGTTAATCTCAAGAGGATGAATATTGAGGGTGTTCGACTTGCCAGTGTCGATTGCGAAGTTGGTGATTGTGAAGATGACGAATGTAAGGAAGATGGTCGGTGACAGAAAAATTCCCGTCATGTGGAGGCCTCTCAAGAACAGTCTCAAATCTCAATATCTTGCAGATGATAGTGTCTGAAGAAGAGGCTACCTTAGATTCTTAGATTACTTGCCTGATTGAGAAACTTTTCTCGAGATATGGAGTCTCAGTTTCCCAACCTATATTGGGTAAGAACCTAGAACCAAGAAAAACGCGTGTAAACGTATGTTTTCAAAAGGACGCTGCTTCTTCTAATTCCATTCCCACAACGTAATGTCCTTTTTTATACTTGGTCTTTATTCATGTTACATGGGCCGTGCCGAACTTTACAGAGTGGTGAGACGATCAAAATTTCAGAAAAAACACCATCTTCAATCAAAACTGCTTGAACTTACACCGCCTTGGGCAGCATCTTCAACATTCTTCTTGAACCTCTGAGACTTACTTGTATCCTCTAGCCAAAAGGCACCAAAATTCAACTTCCTGACTAGCATACTCTGATAAGGTCCCTTTCTAGCTTGGCGTGATGTCATTGTGAAATGTTTAATCGAAGTATGCCTTACCTGGTGGTCTATGCTCTTGCTTCAGTGACCAAACTGACATTAACAAACTAATTGTACCCACATCGCGTAATAATGGTATTTTCTATGGTTTAGTTGATCATCAATGTCTCTACTTAGAAAGTTACTACCTCGATCGATGTATTTAGACACTGTCATAGTATACTATTTCATGTCCTTTTTTCAAAGGATTGAAGAACACCCAGCACAACCTAGGAAACAAGACCTAGACAGGTTCCCGACTTGAGGAGGCTCACGACCACAGCAATGTAAGATGTAGTTAGAATACTCTCTCTTCAATTTGCTGACAACAAACCAAATGCCAGAGAGAGAGAGAGAGAGAGAGAGAGAGAGAGAGAGGGATGATTATGGTGATGACGATGACAGCAGGCGAAAGCTTAGAGAGACTGAGGCATGTAAATCTCCATGTCACAAAACAAGAGGTTTAGATAATGTACTCTTTCCACAGCATTTATCCTAATCTAACACAGGCGGAGACATACTTCTCTTGGCTTATTATAAATAGTTGATACAAGCACTAACTTTTAGAAACTACGCTATCATCCGGAACTTCTGCCTACAGGGATCTTTCATCATAATGCATAAATTATTTCACCACTGCTGTCAATGTCCAGCTCGGATTCAAAGTCCAAGTCATCCATGTCATCATCATCCATGTCCAGGCTATCAGTGACAAGTTGGCTAAGACCATGGGGTGGCATTGCCGGTATGGTGGCCTCAGCAATTATCTGCATGATCGTCTCGTCACTCTGCATTGGTTGATCAGGCTCTTCAAATTGATTACCCATTGTCTTCTCATCTATGAGGTCGGCAGGCAAATTCTTCAGGAACCATGGATGGCTCTTTATCTCAGGGATAGAGATCCGCTGCACCACGTACACATCAGATATCAGGCTCAACATTGAGCGGCACAATTAAAGTGGCAGAAATATATAGCTACTTTTCACATCAAAAGGTGGGGGAAAAATTAAAGATTAAGCAAATTCTAGCCCACCAAAGGATTAAAATGTTTCACAACATATTGAAATTTACCAAACAATGACTGGTACATTGAACTCTCCATCTATTACCTCTGCAGGGTCTGCAACAAATATTCTAGAGATCAGATGCCGACACTCAAGTGATATTTGGACATTTTCTGGGATGGAATACTGAACATTAATAACTCTCTGCATGAACCACAATGAAAATTGTGTAAAGATTAGATAATTATATAGAGTAAAACAACAAGAAAACAAGGTCCCCGAATTACCAGAATTGTTTTCCGAAAGTCTTTAGGTTTTTCAGGATCCTCAAAGGGATAAGCACCCACTAGCATCACATATAAGGTCACCCCACACGACCACACATCTGCAATCTGATAAAGTAATAGATCATCTACCATCTCCTTGCACACATACAAGCTAAAGGGAAAACATGTCAAACAAACTAATGGCAGTTTGCATTAAACTAGAAGACAGACCTACTCATATTGATAGAGGAAAGAAAAGTATCCACTTCTTGTAAAGCCTAGAAGATTCCATTGAAGTGGGAAAAAAATGCAAAGCACGCTCTATATGAGAAATCTTTTCAAATTTGGAAGGCAGAAGAAATATGTTCACATTTGTTCAATATCGGCCCTTGTCCTGCCCGAAGACCTTCTATCAGAGACAAACAGAAAAAGTTGTTGCTTCATAAGCGATGTAGCTGACCCTCTAAGTTCTCAAAATACCAGCTTCCCTTGACCCATGACCGAGAAGCAGTTCCAATACATCTGAAGCTCCAGTGATAGCAGAACCATGAACAAATTACGCTCAGGCTGGCTAATCATCGTTAAGCCTTCACTGCTCAATGCAAGCATTGGATGAAGACTGTAAAAGTATTTTATGTCTAAAATTGGCAACCAACAAAAATAACCCAAATATACCACAGAGCAGCCACAAGTTTAATCATTTAGCTTTGCATGAATGATCATGAGACACAATTGTAGAGAACTAGGGACGAGAGCTCTATCTGTCAACAAAAGGGAAAGCAGAAGACAACCCACTTTACTTCTGAGTGCAAGCATATCAACAAGCAATCGAATCTCCAACAAGCCAAGCATTGACCTATGTCAGATTTCTGTGATACCTTGTCTCTCTTGCAACCAGACGTCGGGGACACCAAACATACGTATTTTTGGAAGAAAAAACTTGATTGACTGCAATGCCAAAGAAGATTGCCTGGACTGCATGCCAACAAGATCGAATTGAAAGGCACTTCACTTCTAATTTATCACAAGAAAGGAGGACGTCACAATGGTGTAGAGACGGAGGAGGCACTGAGTAAAATGGAGGCATTAGCATTGACAACAACGAGGAGCAAAGTCAGCTTAAGCCAAATCTAGGATTAGGGGTTTCGTGAATAAGGATTTTTTTGCATTCAGAACAGACTAATTTAATTATTCCTTGCAGACTTCCCAATAAAATCTGGATTCAGGAATGTTTCTCAAATAGTTCGTAGAATCGTAAAATAATAAGATTAAAAACTGAAGTTTAAAACAACCATGACAATGGCTTTGTGTCAAATTCATGTTGAAAGGCCATGCTTTCTAATGAGATGAGCTTCCTTTACAGGGTATCTCCCAAAAGCAATGGATCAACTTTTATAGCACTGTTGTGATCAAGAGACTACAATCATCTCCAGGACACTAATGCTTGATGCAATTATGACAACCACGCTGTTCAGCAGAATTTCTTAAAAGAAATTAGTCGTACCTTGCCATCATATTCTCGCCTTTGTAAGACTTCTGGGGCAATGTACGCTGGAGTTCCCACAGTTGATTTTGGTTCCGAATGCAGCACTGAGGACTAAGAAGAGTAACAAAAACGAGATCATTTAAAATCCATGAAATCATATGAACTATCTGTAAAATTCAATTTGAGGTAGGTTACACCAAATTCATTTATCCAAGGAAACGCACATCAACGGGGGGATGGAAACAAGTCTAGACAACACAGAGCATGCCATAACACAAAGTTAACTTTCATGGATGACCCCTAAACACTGCCAAAGTGACAGATGCAACACTTCAAAATGTATGTATCATTCATTAGTATCTTACAATTTAGTTTGTAAGGCATAAACGATACTTAACCATCAATCACCTACAAAATACTCAACCACAGGGAAATTAGTGCACCACAGAATGCACTTCTCGGTTCTACCAGTACGCCATTAATTGTATATAGACTTATCGACTAATGTAGATTGTCTGACTTCACAATATTAAATACTCCGACAATATTGCAACAATGAAAACTAAATTATATATGCCTTGAAAGGTAACAATCACTCTCACCTATAAAACATTCAATCACCGGCAAATTTATCAGTGCGCCACAGAACACACTTCTCAGTTCCATTAATATGTAATTGATTGTATTTAGACTCATTGACTAATGTAGATTGTCTGACATCACAATATTTATTATACTCCAATAATTTCCCAACAACGGAAACTAAATTTTATAATCCAAAAACCATTTACAAATGAAATGCACATAAAACTTTTTATTTTTCTATTTAAAAGAAAAACAATGTGCTGTAATAACTTGCACGTAGAAACCATAGCATGATCACATGTACATGAAATTAAGATATCTAAGCTTTTAATCATAATCCTATTCGAAAATTATTATTTTGCAACACCTTTTAACTAAAATTCTTGAAATTAAGATATCTATGCCTTTGATCATAATCCTACTCAGAAATTATTATTTTGCAATAGATTTTACTTAATTTAAGTATGTCTCTATCGTGAAGAACACTGCTGAATCTTACTATTCAAGTCTACTCTCAATTTTTCTGACCAAAAAAAAAAAAGCCTACTCTCAATTCACAAATCACCGATCGAGATTTTGATTCAAAATCGATATTGCAATTTGACAATACGGTTATGAACATAACATACTGATCTCTTGCCATGATAATATACAAGCTCCGTCAGCCTCAACCAAACAAAGATGGCCAGATAAAACGTATAAATTATAAATGTAGATTTGAATCAAAGTATATGCGAATTGAGGAATTTCGCCATATTTTACAAGTCAGGCAGTGTACCCTCTAACTCTAAAGCACCAAAACCGGCACTGTTAGAAAGAGCATAACAATTTAATAGTAAGATCTTTGCCTCCTAAAGTGCTAGCCATAGCCACAACTGACAGGTTCGTTTCGAGTTGCCATATCATTTGTACAGCAATCAAAACCAAAGCAGAAATTCTACTCGATCGACACCATTGGTCCAGTGGCAATTACAAAGCACAGACTTAGGAAAGAGAAAGAAAAAAAAGGTACCCACACGTACCTTCGAGTACCCAAAGTCGCATATCTTCAGTCGAGGGGCCTGACTTCCATCCAACAAAGTATTTTCCAATTTTAGATCACGATGGCATACTTGCTTCATCAAGAACAAAACATTGGAATGCCAATTACTATCAAATACATGTTGACCAGATCACAAAATTACTAAACTCCATAACATGTACAATAGTATTTAGTTACCATAGCATGACAGTAGCTAACACCAGATATGAGCTGTTGAAAAAAGAAGCGAGCCTGCACCAGAAAGGCAACAAAACATCCAGATGAGAGCTATCCGAGAAATTGGAGACTAAAATAAAAAGTGCATCATGCGAAAGGAAAGCTAAAGAACCTCATCTTCACTAAATCGCCCAGCATTGCATATTCGCTCAAAAAGCTCTCCACCAGCTGCATATTCCATCACAATTGCTAGATGCGTAGGTGTTAAAATGACCTGGAAGAGATATTATTCAGTCATTTATTCACTTAAACTGAGATAAGGTCCGGAACTAACAAAGTGAAGCTAACCTCTTTGAATCTAACAATGTTTGGATGCCTCAGAGACCTGTGGTTTATTATCTCTCTCTGAACATTTTCATCTATCTGCAACATCGGGAGGTAGACATAGAAAACTACATATTAGCAAACCAGAAGTCGATAATCGTGCTTGCCATTATGTATAGACACAGAAGAGGGGACTCAGACGCAACAAGCACTTGTCAATTGTCAATTAAGAAAATCGGAGAACAGCACTAACATGGCTCTCTTTCCCCCATTTGTCCTTTCGACATAATCTTCTAATTACCGAATCACTTCTTTGCTTATCAAGATCCTTCCTTTAGACATATCATTTATATGTCAATTGGAAATGTTCTGTTTCTCACACTTTCAAGTAGAGCATTAATATCTGGAGAAATCCCCAGCATTACTTGTCCCCCATGCACAAAAGGAGTCCATCCACAGTGCCCATCCTCTAAATGGTAATTTCTTAAAAACACTAGCTCTTTTTCCGAGATCGTGAAAAAAGGGGACAAGAAAACATGAAGTCCTCATAATTATCTGCAAATAAAGTTTCGCCATGAACCATGTAAATAGAGGCATTTCTAATACACACTAGCCATTTCTGGTAAAAGAAACTAACTGATCAAACAGTATTCCTATAAGCAGAAACAACTCCAAGCAAATAAAGCCGGCTATGAATTTTCAAATCATCTCCGATGCATTAAAAACATGAGCACTCCGCAAAACTGCGTGGCAACCTACGGAAAGCACAATTAATACCCTACAGTCTTTCTCAGTAAAGACAAACTAACTGATCAACCAATCAATCACCCTTTACTAAGAGGGGGAACAAGAACACATGTAAAGTCGGGAACCGACTAACCTTGTCGCCTCTCTCAATATACTTGACAGCGACGAGCTCCTGCGTGACCTTATCCCTCATGAGCCGAGCAATCCCGAAGTTCCCCGAGCCTATGTCCCGCACGAAGTCGTACCTGTCGCTGTCGTGAACGATCGGCATGTCCATGCCCGGTCCGACCATCAGCATGGCCCGCTCCATCGTCCGCAGGGGACTTTGCCCTAACCAAACCAAACCCAATTCACAAAACCGAACAATTCACCGCATAGCCGGTCAGGCGGCGAAGAAATGGACGGCGGCGGCGGCGGCGGTGCGCCGGCGAGAGCGAGGATCGATGGACGACGACCCACTTCACTGCGATCGATTCGCAACCGAGTTTCGACTCGAGGCCTCGAGCTCAGGCGTGCCGGGCGGGCCGTGCGAGCTCGAGTGAACTGGAAACAGTGGAAAGTCGCGCGAGCTTCTCGGGCGTGGCGATGGCGCTTGCAGAGAGAGGAGGAGGAGGAGGAGACGGACAGAAGCGGCGTCGTTTTTATCGGCGGCGTGGGGCAAACCGACAATGCGCTTCCGATTCTGTTCTGATCTGGTCGGTTGTGTCTTGTCGTATTTGTCGAACTAAGCTATGGTTGCGAGGGGGAATGACGAGAATGCCCCCCGGCGGGGATGGTTTCGGTGAGTTATCGTGATTTGCGCGTGCAACTACCCACTCTTAACAAAATAACAAGGGGAGTTTGGTATAAGAACATGACGGGGGGTATTATTTTAATTTGCCAATTGTATACTTGGGTCTGACCAAAAAAAAAAAAACTATATATTTGGGGTGATCAACTAGATGCTATTGATAATCGCAATGGTCGAGGTAAGTACAATTCGATATTTTCTGAGTCAACTTACATAATTTGACCGCTCAAATTTAAAGGATCAGTCGAGCCAAATTTCTTGAATTTTGTGTTGAATGTCTACGTCATTTTCATGTGTTTCTTTTCTTTTCCTCGAGTATTTTATTTTTATGTACAAGTTTATTAAAGACTATCTTTAGTTACTCCACCAGATTATTGATTAGATGAGAAACATATGCTTCTCGTTTTTTAAGTGAAACGTTAGTAAAATAATTAAATCTTATTGTCTTTAAAAAAATAGGAAACTAAATAAAATAAGATTCCAAAATACATTTATTCCGATAACACTAAGTTACTGATTTATTACGTGGTGCTCTTTCTTATATGTAGTCATAATAAATATCAATTAAACCTCAAAGTCATTTAAGTTCCGGCGCCCCTTCATCAACGATGCACTTATTGAGCGTGTTCAAAGAAGAGTAATCTCTTTTTGCTTCTCATAACCACATTTTGATTTTCATTTACATGCAAATTCTCTTTGACCATCCATGTTAGATTAAAGAATATAACATAGGCTTAATCTAATAAACAGGCCAATCTCATACTAAGCTCAAACCGTTTATTAGAAATTCTTTTCTACTTTCCCATATTTAAATGACAAAAAAACTATTAATTTGTAAGAAAACATTTTTCATGAACTGAAAAACAACAAGCTTAAATTAAGGAGTAAACGACTTCCCATTCTAACAAAAAGAAAATCACTTTCCCTCTAAAACTCCCAACAAATGAAAACTAATAATTTTCCTTAAAAATAATTTCCACAAAAAAATAAATTTGCTTCTATCACGGAACTTTCCACAAAATAAATGCATCTTAAATCTCCATTTAAAATACGAATTCAAAAACAATTTTAGCAGGGTGGTTGATAGTATGTTTATATTATTCACAGGATATGTCTATCCACCGTATTTTCACCGACGGTCGAGATTGTCTGGAAGGGCAATTTCGTAAAATCAGATGTTTGGTGGAGGCGTTTGACCAATCAGGGGCAGAGCCTTCGGACCAAGGGAAAGCTTCTGACTTTCCCCAAGCTGTACGGCCCAATGAACTAAAAAGGAGCGTCCCCAGCGTGACCCCACCTGTCAATTTACACCTTTGCCACCGATAACGGTAAAACCCGAATTACCACGAATTCCCCATTTGTTAGGAAGAATTTGACTGGGAAAGTGAAAAAGATATTGAAGGCCGTAATTAAAGAAATATATGAAAAGAAAATCGACGGGGTATTATTATTTTACTAGGGAAAATGAAAAAATCGGGGAATGTTAAATTGCTTTGAAACTGTAGTAGATATGGGTCCAAAATTGGGAAAGTTAGATACATAAAAAAAAATTCAGAAAAGAAGTAAGATGGTCGACCTGTTCTTTTATTCAGATCTCGAACTTGGAAATCGTTTTTATAATTCTTTTCAGAGGCTTTGAAAATGTTTTCTCGTGTAACACTCCCAATGAATTGTCGAAAAAAGAAAAGCATGAATATATATGTACACAATGGACAAAAAATATCATTACTTTTCCGATGGCCCGAAAGGATGCATTGGCATTTACTTAAGGGACAAAATGACTGACACCTAAATTTTACTCGAATAAGCAACTCTGGTAATTTCGGGTGGGACTAATATGTTTTCTCTGTTTGTAAAACAAATGACCCTTAATTGAAAAGACTAGAAAAATCAACTCATTTTTTAAGTCCATGCTGGATTTTAAGCCAAAAGAACTCCGTTTGTGCTTTCTATCAAAAATGAAAATCTTTCGAAAACTAAAAAGGCCGGCTACCCACAGTTATAGTCCAAGAAAAATGGAGTGAAATTTTATGAAGAATATTGCGATCTAAAGATCACAAATTCAAAAACTAATGATAAAAAATGAGTGGCAAAACAAGACAGAAAAAGTTATCCTTTTAAGAGATACAAGCAATCCTTTGCCTTCGATCGTTAAGAAACACAAAAGAAAAAATAAAAAATAAAAAAAGATAGCCACGTTTTGGTATCATCTTTCATGGATAAGATCTTGAAAAGGAGTCATCTTATCCATTAAGTAAACTTTGGTGCATCTTTTGGATCCCTTGAAAAATCGGAAATTTTTTCATATTTAAAAAAATAAGTTATTTTGATAAGTAGATTGATTTATTTTTTAAATAAAGGGATTCTTTGGGGGTTTGAAAAGTTTTTCGTTTATTAATAAAAGTAAACAGCCCCCTGATAATAATGTGGAAAAAGACAAGGACTTCTAACTAATATTTTCAGTTACTAATTTGGTCATTTGGACTATTCTGTGGGTATAAGACTAGTAATTAATGCCTATGAGAATGAAAAATGTGAAGACAGAGACAATTTGTGTATAATCTAATTTTAAAATTTTGTTTTCCATAGAAATTTTTTTAACAACCAATTGAGGAAATTTCGAATTATATCAACGCATTGTCTATTATCGCATTAAGTTTAATTAATATCTTGAAATTCGAAATATTTTCTATTAAATATTTTAATTTTTATTTGATTGGATCCCAAATAGAGTACTTAATTAGTCCAGTGACATCACGTTTAAAAATTAGGAGTTGCTTAATGAACTCCTTAATTTTTTTTTTGGTTAAGTTTTTTTTTTTTTGGTCAGATTTTGGTTAAGTTGACTTGTCTTGTAATTAATGTATCTTTTTTAATGTACCTAACTCCAAAAAAGATATAAGGAAAGATGGATGCTCTCGTTTATTACAAGACTAATTACGGAACTTGGCATTAAGCCTTTCTCCTCATTTGGTCAGCACTTAAAAGATGTGAGCTTGCCTTACCAAGACATTACAGTGTCCATATAAGGGAAAAATGTTAAAAGTCGGAAAAATTTTTAATCCAAATAAGCCACGAATCATATTTTCGTAATTTTTTTTTTGCTTGACTAAGAACGTGTAATGCCGGTATCTCAAGAATTTTTCATCAAGAAAAAGGAACGAATATAGACTAGAGAGCCCAATCGCAATAAAAAATTGGAAAAGATAAAACAAGTCAAGAATTTGGGGTTTTTTTACCTAAGCAAAGTTCAGGACATTAGAGAAATTCCTGAGCCTCATGTGAAACTTCTGTAAAATTGAAGTATCCAACCGAGAGAAGAAAAACCCAAAGAAGGCCTAAGCATCGATTTTGCAGTACTATTTTTTTTTTTGTCGAAATTTTGCAGTACTATTGGAGCATATGTTTTTAGTCGCCGTTAGGCACACTATCGAGTGGCTAGGAGGTGAGGGTGAAGACTAGAAACTAATGACTTGATTAGTAAACATCATGTGTTTCTATATTTCTATTCTTTTGTTCTCCGAAACAAAAAAAAAACAAAAATCCATTTGGTAATATCAATTAATTTTTCTATCCTGTGGAATAGAAAAGTGATCAGGGAATAGATTGAAATAAAAACAAGAAGTAAAAAAATGTACTTCTTTGTTTCCGGGAATAATTTCTAAAACAAAGTCATTTTCTTTTTTTCCTTCCTTCTTCTTTCTCCTCTAGCCGGTTGCCGGTCCTTGGCGATGACCGGCGAGCCTCGTCGGTTGTTAGGTGAGGCTCACCCAAGGCCGGCCCTTGTCTCTAGCTAGCTGCCGGCCATTGCCGAGGCCCGGCGACCGACTAAAGGAGGAAGAAGAAGGGAAGGAAAAAAGAAAAGAAAAAATTTAAAAATTAGAAAAATCTTAGAAAATTATTTAAAAAATTTAAAAAATTCTACATCGCAAAATTTTTTGAGGGTCGTACCAAATGCTTCTATGTTCTTTTTCTATTTCGAGAATATAAATTTTGTGCGGTTACCAAACATGTTCTTCTGATCAGAAACTCATCTAAGAAATAGAAATTAAATAAAAATTATTTATGAAAAAGAAATTATTCCTAGAAACAGAAATATTACCAAACGTATGTTGACACCTGATTTTTAGCTAATTTTTTTTTCATATTTTCAAAAATCTCAGAATTAGGACTAGGAATCTTGGTCAAACATAAAAACCTATTTCTAGACCGAAAATAATTTTTTTAGCATTTTTCTGCATTTTTCTTTAATTTCTTTTAGTCAAAATAAGTGAGAAAATCAAGAACAATAGCAAATGGAATCAGAAAATTTCATAAAAATAGTCATTAGTCTTATTTTAAATCCAATTTATTAATGCATCATCAATTTTGAAAAATTTCAATCGGGTATGTGTTTTCCCCAAAATTGGGCAAAATCAAACCCGAATTGAATAAAAAATGCAATTAAATCTTTTCTAGTCATTTTTAAGTCATAGTGTCTTCACAAAAAATAATTCTGGGACCTTGAATTACATAATGGTCGGTCCAATTGCACAATTTGTCAAAAAAATAAAAAATCCCCAAAATTCAATTGGAAATTAGGAATTTTAAGCCCAAATTGGGAATCGTGTCCAATTTGAAATTGTCGAACCATGAGACTATCATTTCTAGGGTTAATCATATGTGGGTAATTCAATTTTGGTACCAATTTTATCTAATCAGGTCATTAAGACATCAAATTGAATAAAATCCTAATAACTCGAATACAAAAATTTGAAAATCTTGGACATGATTATGTCAAAAATTGAGGAAAATCACATATTTGGGTTCAAAATGTAATAAGGAATTCAATTTTGGGGTTTAATTTTGAAAATTAGGTCAAAATTGAGCTCAATTTGAACTTTTAGCCAAAACCGGGCCTGCCGGGTCGACCGGGTCAACTCGACCCGACCTGAC